CCTGTCAAGTCACCTGCTAAGTCGCCAGCAAAATCCCCAGGCAGCGGAAAGTCGATCGCGCGCAACTCTCTCAATCTGTTGAGTCCCTTTAATGCTGAGGAGGCGCGCAAGAAAATCTCGGAAATCATCGAAAACTTTGGCAGCGGCATACTCAACACGAACATAACGCCCACCCATGATATTGAGCTGGATTTCGAAGATCTTGAAGTGCTGCCGGAGCGTCGAGAATTGGCCGTAAGACTGCGCAACGCGGGCTTGTTACATCTGGAGCGCATACTCTTTGAGAACGGCTACGACAACTATAAATTTGTGGTAAGCATGAAAAATTAATTACTTTTCCACTGATATGCCATGAGTTACCCTTCCCAAGCGTAATGTGTTTGAGGAGCCAGACATTCCGCTGCTGCACATACCGGAACGGGATGCAACAAAGCTGCTTAGTTTCGTAGGGACATTGCCGCAAGCGGAGTTTCTGCCGCAGGTGCCATTCAAAGCACAGCAGGAGAACAAACAGCTGGGCGTGGCCACGCTGCAGCAATGGCTGAACAGCATCGCATTGCCCGAGTATCTGGAATTCTTCAAGTGAGTTTTCGTATTGCGTTCACATTTCCAGTTAAACAAAATCTCGGCTTAAAACTTGCAGCAAGCATCTGTACAACACCATTGACAGTGTCTGTGGTGTCTGGGATGTGGAGCTGCAAACTGTGCTGGAGATTAATAAATTGGGCCACCGCAGACGAATTCTGCAATCCCTGGCCTATATACGGAAAATGCGCGAATCCAAGTCGCTTAAAACCCCGCTGGCCGAAAACAACGAAACAAACAAAATGACAACGAATGGCAACAAGGAGGCCACGGTATCTGCCACCGCAGCGGACAGCACACAGCCACCCGCAAATGTTTTGCCGCACCGAAATTCCATGACGGGCTATCGCAAGAATCGGTAGGTTTCATTGAACAGAACTCGAACATGAGCATTATCAAATAAATGTTACATTGCGCAGTCCTGCACCACCGCCGCCGGCGCCACCGGCACAGAAAGCCGCAGCAGCTTTCAGCTCAGCTGCTCCGCTCCAAATACGCGCACCCTCCGAGCTCCTGCTGGGCCTGCCGGCCAATATGCGCACCACTCAATGGCGTCATTCGGCGCAAACTCTGCTTGATGAGCACATCAAGTACGAGGTCCAGGTGGGTGAATGACTTTGTTTACGTCGACCACATCTAAATATTTGGTTATTGCCTTTGTCAGTACCTCGGCTCAACGGTTGTGAAAGAACTACGTGGCACTGAATCCACAAAGAAATCTATACTAAAACTGAAATCGCCCAGCGCGCAGACAAATGAGGAGGTTCATAAGCAGGGCGCACAGCTGTCGCTGGCAATTTGTCACCGCGGCGTCGACTTCATTGATGTTGCCACCAAGGTAAGTGGAGCAGCAAGATATTTTATGCCTTCGATTTATTCCTTCGTCCTCGCCAGCGTGTTATCTGTGAGCATGAGATACAGAACATCAATTGCGCCTGTCAGGACTCGGAGGATATGCGCCATTTTGCCTACATAACGAAGGAGCAGGATGTGCACTATTGTCATGTGTTCCTGGTGCAAAGCACGGTTTGTTACAGCCTAAATAAGCCATGTGGTCTATGCTAAAAACGTAATTTTACAGGATCTGGCCAATGAGATAATACTGACGCTGGGCCAAGCCTTCGAAGTCGCGTATCAGCTGGCGCTGCGCGATGGGATTGCCACAACGCCAGCTCTGCTACTCGATAATGGCATGCTTCAGGGTGAATATTGCGGCGGTGGCAGCAAATAGAGCCAGGAGCTGGCCACCGCCCGGGCCCATAATCAATCTTTGGCAGCCAGTTCAAATCGCACGCACAGCCGCAGTCGCAGCCTCTGCGCCAAACTATTTTGCCTGACCAACTACGGTGCGCTGTTTAAGTTATAGATGGGAATCGTGTGGCAACTATTCAAATTGAAACTAGTCCTTGACCATTTTATATATTTAATTGGTATTGATTTTTAAATGGCCAACAAGAACAACAACACATTGAACAAAAAGACTTTTTACAAATGGCACAAATTTTTTTAAATGAACTGCACTCAAGAAAACTTCAGCTTTTTTGTCAAGCTACAAACTTTTGAGTACCAGATCAATAGAACGCACAATTTTTCATGATATCATCGTTAATTCGTTTAATTTGAAACGAAAATAATGCATTTACAAACTTTTAAAATCTTCATAAAAAGCAATTGCATTTAATTAATGAAAAAATGCCCACTTGTGTGCAATAATGTTTTAGCAAATTTTAGCTATATATCTAATCCTTAAATCGAGTAAATCATAAATTAATTAACGTACTATTGGCACATAAACAATTTTATTGATGTTAAAAGCTGTATAAAAAAAAATTACAATTGACGCAGCGAACTGCTTATAAAAGCAATGAAAATTCATATCCCGCAAACAAAAATACAAATTGGCTATAAACAAGCGATAAATATATATACATATATAACTAATCCCAATGCGCGTTGTTATATAATTTTAAATAAATTCTTATTAAACAAAACTAAAACAATGCTAAACGACAATTCTAATCAAAATAAATACAACGCAAACAAGTTATAAGCAAATGTGCTTACAAAATACAAAAAAAAAAAAGTAAGAGATATACGCAAAACATTTAAAAACTAATTATAATATGGGTGAAGCATTTGTATATGATTTATAAAATTCGAAAAAATCTGTAAAGCTAGTCTTTTAGTTATTATTGGAGCGTAGGTAAAGCATTTTAATTTGTTTAATTTGAAACTGATTTGAGGCAAAGCCCTGTTGTTATCATTTGTTTAACATGAAGTTTTAGTTAATTATTATTATTTAAATGAAACCTATTAATGATTAAAATACAAAAGTCTTTTTCTTGATATGTGCAATGCTTTAAATGTTAGCCTGCTTTATGGTACAACAGTGTTCATAAGAAGTACCTATCCATAAAAATCATGTGAAAAATCTACTAATAAAACAAAATATTTGTGCATTTTCTGTACGTAGTTTAACAGTTTGTTATGCCACTTGGAATACATATATATATATATATATACATATAAATGCATACATTCAAAGAACTATACACATACATACATTCATACATACACACACAGGCTAGCGCATAACTAATGAAATTTAATAGCGATCTATGCATAAATAAATATAGCAAAAAAAATAACATGTTTACCGAAAAAAAGCTAAATGGAAACCTGTAAACCTGATTTGTCTTCGTCAAATTGCATAAACAAGTTTACCAAACATACTAAAACACAACACAACAAAAAAAAAAGAAAAAGATAAAAACATTATTGAAAATACGCACACGCATACCTATGTGTGTGTACATATATATGTACAACTAACAACAAACCTTATACAAATCAATACTAAATAAATGCATAAATATGTATGTAATTAAATGAAGCCGCAATTGTTTATCTATTATTTATAGTATTTATCCACTGACCAGGTCAGTGCAGCATTTAAAACGCCTCATGTCAATTAAGGCGCACTTTCCCACAGGCCTCTGCCAGACGAGCCAACTGCAGCACCGTCTCCAGCTCCCAGCTCCCAGCTCTTAGCATCAGAGCAGAACGCGGATCATTTACACAAGTTGGACGCGAGCCGGTTTGGCGAAACGTCTTGTTGGTTTTTATAAGGCTAAATGCGTTAAGCATTTGATCATACGAATATTAATTGGCAAACACCAAAGCGCAAGCTCTGTCGGGACACCGGCTACAGCTTCAACTGCAGCGCCAACCCCAGCTCCAGACTCTGCCCCTGCCCCTGACTGCTCGGCACACGCACACACGTCGCTAATGTTGCCGGCAATAAGTTGCCGGCGTGCGTCAAATGTTGCCAAGCAACACGATAGCATTGGCCAGGAGTGCTGCTGGTGGCGGGAGCAGGGCATCAGCTGCTGTTACCAGCCAGAATGACGACGCTGCAACATCTGCTTGATGCTGCCGCATCTTGCGCTTAACGGTTTAAATTATTTCTCGTCTCGGGCGTCTCTGGCTAGCGTGCAATTTGTGGCGCACAGCTTATCACAATTTCATTATTACAAGTATTATTATTGGCCATAGTAAATTTGCAGCATGTAGAGAGCAGCTGCCATTTGGCATTGCCAGTGCTGTGCGTTTATTTGTAATTGAAATTGCGTGACTTTATTCTTCGATTTCGCCATTTTCCCGTAATTTCTGCGCTTTGCCATTGCCATTGTTGCCATTCAAAGGAAAGAGAGATAAGCTTGCACATTTTGCCGTTGTACTCACACACACGAACACAAACACACGCACGCAAGCACTTACGTATGAACGTGTGCAACTAAAACTTTTGGCGAGCTTTCATTTAAACAGCAAGAACAACAACAGCAGCAAACGAAATAAAAAGCACAAACAAAAGCTGGCAGCTCGCAGCTGACAAGGCTGTTCGCCTGTTCCAAATGCGAGCAAGCAGCGCAATGTTTGCCCAGCCCTTGTGAACTTGAGTGTGTATGTATGTGTGTGAGTGCGCGTGTGTTGTCACACTGTGTGTATTTAAGTTAAAGCACTGTGCAGCAGTTTGTAATTTTGCCTGTTGCATTGCTGCACGCCTGCTGAAAATTGTACCAAAAAATCGCCGTTCGTCAGTGAAACGCGCATCTAGCGAGTGACTGAAACTCTGGCGATTCGTGATTTCGTTGCGACAATACACTCGCTCTGTTAAATTAAGCAACGTTGCTTTCGCTGTCATTTTAATGTGTTTAACAGAATTTAATATTATGTTCAAAATATTTTATTGCTGATATTCTGTTTATATTCTGTTTAGATCGGCTATTCCCTTGAAGCAATATCTTAATGCCTTTCTGTTCTGGTAAGAAACTGTAATTTAGTGATAAAATATTTAATATTTTGCTGTAAGAGTTTCTAATATATACTAGTACAAACGAATAATATAGAATTCATTTTGATTTGAAATAGTGGTATTTGTATTTTCCTATCAGCATACTTCTTATATTGATCTTGATATTCATTTTTTGCTTTTTATTTACAATGCCTGTGCTACTTTTGTATATATAAAGATTATTCTGATATATAAGCAAAACTAGCTGAGCATTTTTTTCTTGCAAAAATTTATACAATGTTCTTCGGCGAAGAACTTATTGCGATTGCCACCACAGTTGGAGTAATCAAACAATTCGCATCGGAATCGACCGGGATTATAGAACCATAACGTACGGTGTCCTTCACAATAACCATATTCGGGGCGCGCTGAGCAAATGCCTGCGGAGATACCATATCAATTATCAGCAGTCCCTTCCCGTTTGTAACTTACGCGTCCTTAGAGCATTGTTTCTTGCCTTTGCCGTATCATCATCTGCGCCAGTTGAGATTAGCAACATGAAGACACAATATATGGCTATTGGAACTTTCATTTTTCAACCGATATAGCGACAAGCAAAGGTCTAGTATGCCACTGCACTGATTTGGCTTGCACCGACCTCTTTATATGTCGGAACTTCTTAATGGAAATGTGTTTTGTGCACTTGCTGCTAATTGGCATAACACATATACAATGTATATATATTTACAGCTCCTATGCATTTTTTTGCACATACATATATGAAGATAAAATATTGAATAATTTTAAATCTGAACTAAGGGTCGAAAAGTATAGACAAATAATTATCGATAACCTTACATTTTTAAAATTCTTTTGAATATTATTAGAATGTATCATTGTTTACTTTATTTATCCACTTGCTCATTTTATTTTTTGTATACAAATAAAATAGATTAATTTTAACTATTTGACTGAAAATCCGTGGTGCATTGGCATTTCCTTTGCCGTCCATTCTTTAGCTTTGTCAGTACAGAACTCATCACATTCGGCTTTGGAAAAGTAACGATTACGATTTCCTCCACAGTTTGAATAGACGAATTTCTCGCATTTAAGTTTATACTTATTGAAATACCACATCTGACGTCGACCCTTGCATTGACCATACTCAGGCTTCGTATAACAAATGGCTGTAAGACACAGAATAATGCATATTACCTAAATGTCCATAGGATAGTCCATCAATTTATCATAAAAACCTTTGGAGAGCTTATCAAAGTGCATTTTACGTGCAACTGAATCAAATGTCATACTATCAGGCCTTTGAGCCATTACAATAACAGCCATTAGTAAAACTAAAAACAGAGCTATAAAGCTTGCCATCCTGTACTTCTGCTGATGTTGTTCTTGAGTCCAATGGAAAATGTGACTGAATAAACTGATGCACCTCCATCAACAATTTATACCATTCACGAGTCGGACTTGCTGACAACTGTTTTGTCGAAAGCAGACTACCTTTTAATAGAACCAATTGTTTAAAATTGTTATGGACAGTTTTTTAAACAAAAAGCGAAAAAAACACATTGAATGGCTAAGGCGCAATGCAATTGCTCAATCTGTAATCAGTGGTCAAAATTATTCGACCGGTTGGCCAGTTAGTTAGCAAGCGAATTCAATTAAATTTCTCAATAAATTATAAGTGCAAAAACGCACGCGTTTCTACACACACGGCTCAGCTGTGGTGCTGCATACTTAGATGCATAAGAGTGTAAACAGTGAACTGGTCCGGTGTTTAAACCGGTACTTAGTACACGAATCGAGATTACGCAAGCCCCGCACATCACATACCATCACACATACGCCATGTTGTACGTATCGCATAGACACACAAATGTAGACATGTCTCTCTGGCATTTGTCTTCTCGCAAAACGAAATCGAAAACATCGGAAAAATCGAAATTCTAGATCAAGGCCAATAATATACATGCATACATAAATACATATATATGTACCAATACGCACACACGCGCACACACTCACACATAGTCGCTGACACACGCAATGCATGCGTAAAATAACTCAAAACTAGTTTTCCATTGGAGGAGGATGCTTGCGCTAGGCCTGTTAGCCAAACGCACGCAAACTGGGTCAAAAGGAAGCACTGCCAATGCGGGCAATAAATTGCAATTGAAATGAATATTGTCATTTGACAATTTGCATTTGTAAATTACAAGACAAAACACTTAGCGGCACTTACGCGACTGACAGGGCCACAGGCTCCGAGGTCCGGGGCGGCAACCCCAATTACATATCCAAATACATTATCACAGTTTACGATTGCCAATATGTCATTGATCAGCCGTTTATTTATAACAAACGCCAGTTGAAGGCTGCACTCAAGTGAAAAATATAATTTCAAATTGTATGACTAAGAATAATGCACCTTTAAAATAAAAAAAACACATATCTATAACACTAGACGTCATAGAATTTTATTTACAAAAATGTTCTACAAATTTTGAATAATAATAAAATATTCATTGTATTTTTAAATATACAAATATTATTACTTATAAGCTATGATTCTAAAAATTAAAAAAGAGGTCGGTAACTTGAAAAAAAAAGGACAGTAAGTGAGCTGTCTGTTTAAAATATTTTCAAAAATAATAGGGTAAAAAGGATATAATGTATTTTTGCATGTGTATGAAACCGATCAGCATCAGTAGCCGAGTCGATCTAGCTATTTCCGACCGTTTGTGCATCTGTCTGTCCGTTTGAATGAACGCGTCGATCTCAGAACCTATAAGAGCCAGGGACCTTTTAGGTAGGTCTTTCTAGTGTCGGCGCAGTACGAGCTTATTTCCGATAATCGATAACTTGCCCTGTTTCCAAGCAATCGACAATTATCGATAAGGAAATCCTGTTTTTTCAACAAATCTCTTGGTTTTAAGAACTAGACATGTATCTTCCAGAATAGTATATACACATCAAGTATCTTTCATTTTTAAACTAGCGACGCACCCCCCTTCCTCCTAGCGCGAGCTGCATTTGGTGTTGGTGAAAGAAGGTTCAGGGTGCCCTTAGTCAAGCACTCCCGACTTAAGCCCTCTTACTTGTTTATTTTAAATTATTCCTAAATAAAAGGATACATTTGAGATTTATTTGTTGGGATATTTGGACATTAAAAAAATATTTGTTGATTATATAAGTAAAATTCATATCTAGAGAAGTAGACTTTAACTTATTTGAACTATAGCCTTCAGTTAATAAAACAAAAATAACTACATTATTTTATAGTTTAATAACCAGCTTTGGGCCATTTCAATTCAATTTCGACATTTGTGTGCCAGATAGTATTTACATATATGTATATATGTATTTCGATCGGAGGTGATTGCGAGGCCGCGGGACTTGCCAGCTAGTTGGGCTATTAACAAAATTAGCGAGCATAATTCTATTAATTTAAATGTTGCATTTAATGTGCTGGCAAAACAGTTTTCAGGCTTCTTGCGATTATTATGGTTATTAGCTAGAAAAGAAACACTTAGGGCCGCCTTGGGCTCGCCTGCACTGGTCGATTATCGATTGTCTCTGGCCTCGTGGAGCGTGTCAAGGCCTAGAAAGCAGGCGGAGATTGAACAATTGATAACTTATGGCATTATCAAATGCTAAATCTTTCGATATCAAAAGATTGATGACAAACGAAATGCAAAATTTGGCAGGCACTAAATAAATATTCATATCTACAGGTTTGACGCTTTTGACCGCTGCACGCAAATAAACCACATGGCAGATTGTGCAATTATTGCTAATAAAAATGTTTATGGCCGCTGCTGATGCCCATTGGCCGATGACTTCTGCTGGAGCGATATGAATCACCATAAATCTAAGTGCAGTATAAATATTTATCGTGATTTTATAATCATGGCAGTGCAACATGATGACCCACACTCTAAGAGGAAGACAACCAACTTGCCTTGCATGCTCTGCACCAACAGCAACAACAACAACAACAACCACTGCATTTGGCATGCGTGTGAATCGCACGCAGGCCAACTGGCCAATGGCCAATGTCCAATAGCCACAGACCACATTTTCTTCTTTTATGTTATGGCAGGCAAATTTCGCACATGGCAGCGTCGAGATTTGAATGGCGCAGATAAAAAAAAGGTCGCGCGGTCTTAGAAAGTGGGTTAATTAGCAGGCAAAGCAGATTCGAGTACATGGATCCGCCTGTGGACCCCACAGTGCCCCCCACAATGCACATTGCTCCAATAAAACATAACGCATTGGAATGCCCAAAAGTTGACCTCAAATGGCGTTGCCGGCAGCGACTCGACTGTCCAGCTAAGGAGGATGCGGCTGCGGATGAGGATGAGGACGAGGACGAGGACGAGGACGTGCTGCTCGCGCACACGTCACGGTTAATTGGGCATTCAAATGTCAAGTTCAATTTTGGGCTACATTAGCGTTACCTATAAAAGGGCCGTTCTCTCTGCGCTGCATAAAATGAGATTTATTGTTGCATTTTGCTGCCTGCTGCCTGCTTCCAGTGGCTGCTGCTGCATACATTTTTTTGGCCTATTGGGGCTGTGACTGCGTCCAACTCTGGTGGCAATGGTCCAGTGATCATCTGGCCAAACAATTGCCCAAAGAGCCACCCGATAGCCGTTGCGCTCGCCCAGTCGTTCGCTTTTAACTTTTGAATAATTTGGCCAAGCCCAAAATCGTATAAATTGGAATATCATTATTAGCCCAACTTGAAGGTAAATTGCTATGAAGAACCAACCCCAAATTGCAACTATTTAAACGCCTAATGCAATTTTAATAGAGTTTTTTACGACATTGACGCGCTGCTTCCGATTTAAGTCTTATGCCAAAAATCGAGTTCAAGCTAAACTGCTTTTTTTTTAAAAGCCAATTGGCAATGGTCTTCGGTTATGAGTGCTATGAAGAAAAACCTACAATTAGCTCAATTCTATCACACTGTTGTACCCTGTAAAAAACAAACAGGAGATACCTCCGACTTCAAAGTGAATAAATAAGTGCAAATCTCCATTTTATGCGATTGTTATCGAATATGAGATGATAGTTATGAGGGAGAGAGTTAAGGAGAGATGGAGAGAGAGGGAGCGTACGCACTTAGTGTCTATATCTTAAATTTCGCCTTTCTATGAGATTTTCATAAAATACTAATACCGATTACAAAAATAATGATTCTATAGTAACGCATTTATTAATGTGAAAGGAAAAACTGTGAGTAAAGTAAACGAAAGACAATAACAAAGCGAGCGAGTGGAAGAAAAGAGAGTATTTATATTTTCTAAAGAAGTTAAGACGGGAGTACAGGGCATCTCCTGAACGAGTACTTTTGCCTGATACACTCTAACTAGTTAATATACTTAAGTATCACTTAAACTACATAGCTTAGCAAATTTAAGTGCAGCCGATGCAAAGCCACAACAGTGGCACAAAATGTTTGGCAATGCAAAATTGCAGTTGTTGTTAGTGTGATTTTTGGTGGCATAAATCAGCGATAAGAAAATTAAAAGCCATAAATTTGCAATTAATTTTTAATTTGCGCAAATTGATTAACATCAGCACGCTGCAAATGCCATATAAAAAATGTTAGAAAATAAATCAAATTGTAGTCTAACATTTGATAAGCAATTCAATTTCGGCAAGTTTCTTAAGCGGCTTTTAAGCATTTCCGCTAACAGCAGCATCCAGTCTGCGCCTAAGCCATAAATAATTTAAGAGCACACTAGTCTCTAGTCCGGAATGGCCGGCTAGAAAATACCTCCTTTTAAGGGGTAATCGGGGTGGGGATCTAAAGAGTTGATCTGTGTATACTATACGAGAACAAACCAAATTTGAGGTATCTCTTAGAATTTTTGAGAATTGCTTAAAATAATGCCCTAAAAACTATATC